GAGGGGGAAAAGAAAAAAAGTAATGCAGTGGTAAGTGCTTTCTGTGGGAGTGTGACGACGGACTGCGAGTACGTAGTGTAGCAAGTTTGAGCAATAGGGCTGCTGCAGCTGTAGGTGTACCACGAAGTTGCGGGAAACGTTCAATTGCGGACGGTCAGGCGCGGTGGAGCTGGGTGTGGTGAAGCGGGGGGAGGGGCGGGGGGGGCGGTGGCGATAGATCGGTGTGGTGTATGGCGTCTTGGCGTGACGTGGCATGGCATGACGTGACGTGACGTGGCGTAGAAATGTTTCGCGTGGAAAGGGAGGGGGAGGGCGACGTGGCGGGACGTGAGGTTGTCCAGGGGGAAATGAGTGTGCCACCAGAGAGGTAGTATTGTGGAGTATTCGCAAAGGCACCCGCATGCGGTAATGCTTCCCACCTGGCTAGCCGATCTCTCTTCCGATTAGCTCTCATGAGGCCTCTCAGATACCGAAATAAGGCAGTGGGCTTTGTAAAAACAGAGCCATCCACACTGGCCTCACCCCGTCTGATGTCGTACTCACAAGTTATACCTTCTTCGGTAAGGATCTTCTCGCCATCGGCGATCGGACTCCTTTTAGATCGATCGGCCAGTTGCCGGAATAGGAAGTGGTGCGGTCGCATTGTTGATGATGTTACTATATAAGCCCAAGTAGCTATGATACTCTTGCGAAGGCAATCATCCAGAGCTGCTGTGACGTGGTCGTCAACGAGTCGTCGCGTGCTATGTCCGTTGCCCTTTGCCTACTACACATTCAGCGTACAGCACACCTTTTAACGTTGCCTGTGCGTGAGTCACGTAGCGTCATCGGCTGCATCTTTGGCATGGGTACGCGGTGTCCGAGTGGTCGATTCTCCTGCTCTGCTGTACTTGCCCCGGCAGCCATCCATTGAGCATGGGCGGCCGCAGCACCATTTCGGTTATTCTAGGAGGTTGCAAGGTCTGGGGAACTGGCTTTTCTCGGCTTTTTTTGGGCTTTACAGCTCACTTCCGCGGTATTATCATGCTCCTGTTTTCTTTACGTCTTTAAGGCAAGCGTGCTTGGAGCACTTCTCCAAACAGATACGTGGAGTTTAGAGGGA